CATGGTGTTAGCTTCTCACAGAATTTTGGTAAATTCCTGAGAACAGCCATGCTGACTCAGGAAATCGCAGCTAGGGACAACGTTCTAGAATAGAATCCCATCTGGTTCCACCTTTCCTGTGCGATCGCCCCCTGCCCCAGTAAGGATGTTTTACAAGGTTTCGCACAACAAAGCGCTTTACAGACCACACGCGGGTGAGGTCACATCACAGCACCCTCCGAAAGCCAGCCGCTTCTGGGGAGGAGCGTGGCTGTTGCTAGGCGAAGTGCTCTGAGGGGACCTTTTCCGCCTCTGCGGAGTAACCAGGTCCAGGACATGCATGTGTGGAGTCCGACTGTACTGCGGCGCCGACCCAGGGGGCCAGGGACGCTGCCTCTATCTGCCTGGGTGGAGCCAGGTGAATGTGGGCGCGGGTGGCGGCCCCCCACAGCCACCCACACGCTGCCCAGGCCCGGCTCCCGTCAGGCTTCAGAAGAGACCACATACCCTGGCGCTCCGGGGTCTGCCCCCCGGCTGCACCTGCAGCTCCTCTCCTCCGCCCCGATCGCTGACACGGCGCCTCAAGCCCCGGCAGTGGCCCAAGCCAGGCTGCCCCCAGCTGTTTCCGCCGCCGCCGCCGCCTGCATCCCATCCCCTCCCCTCCCGGCCGCTGCAGCATCAGCATCCTCCCCGGCACCTCCATGCACAGCCTCCTAGCTCAGCCCGTCCTCACCCGCCCGGGCTCTCCGGCTTCGCCGCCGCGGCGTCCCCACCCCGGGGCCGGCCCTGCAGCAGCTGCCCCGCTCCGCTCGCGACGCCGCCTTACGCTGCGGCTGTCCCGGGCTGCAGCCCCGCAACTGCCGCGCGCGCTGCTTCTGCCTCCCTCTCTCTCTCTGTCCCTGCACCTTAAAGGCAGGGAGCACGGGAGCCTCCCCCTCCGACAGAAAATGCTCGGGCTCAGTCTGAACAGCAGCCCGCCCTGCCCGCCGGGCCAATGGAATGTCATAAAGCTCCATCGCTATACCCCGTTGTCTGGAGCTGCTCCCCCTTAGCCACGGGCTGGTGCCTGCCTGGGACATAGCGCACAGATACGGACGACCAGCTCTTGGCGGGCACCCCAGGGGGGCCGTGATTAAGGGTCCCTGGTGCTGCACTGGGTATGCATTTGGATTGTTTTGTTCCAGAGCTGAACAGACGTCATCAGCAGAAGTGGCATGACATCATACTGGGCACCGCCACTAACAGGCTGCTGCAAAGCTGATGGGAGGCTGCCCCAGCTGGGCTTGTTCTGCAAGCAATAAATCCGCCGTTTTGTGTCACTGAGTTAAGCTACACTCTTGTAATTAAGGGGACACTGGCAGATCAAAAGCCCTATATGAAAACGTTTCCTTTCCTGTGCGAGTAATAAAAGTTCAGGGTTATACAACGCAATGAATAGTGAAACTTCTAATTTATTTTTCACAATGAATACTTCGGGGGGGTGGGGGGGATTTTTGGTTTTGTTTTATTTTGCTTATTTTGAATAGTGAAAGTAGAAGATCCTGTTCCCAATCAGATTCTCCTTTTGTAAACACAATAAAGTAATAAACTGTTTAACTTAAAAAAAATTAAAATATCTCTATTAATATTCGATTTTGTGAAAATCTAGATACTGAGTCTAAATGCTTAAAAATATCCATTAAGAGTCTGTCAGCATTTCCACAAAGGAAAGCACAATGGGCACTTGCCATTTTCTTTCTTTTTTATATATCTAAAGACTTGTAAAGTTTGGGTTAACTTTAAAATAACCCTGCTTGGTTTTTAACATTAGAACATTGGGTCCTGTCTAGGCTGCAAAACACTACTGTGATCACATCACAAAAATCACGCCCTTGATCTGGGTTTACTCACAGTGCAGAAAATTCAGCACATGCCTAAAGCTTTGCAGGAGTTGGGCCCAAGAGAATGAAAATTGGCTATTTGAAAGGGGAAGGGATTTTTAGCCAGACTGCTTAAAACTCTTTGTTTTTGGAAAGTGTAATTATTAACTTCCATAATTAATTAACATTTTGAAGGAAGGAAATTTTTGTTAAAAAGATTCAACTCCTCCATCCCTTCAGGTGCCGTGTGAGAGCTCACAATGAACATCTCCTAGATCTTCCAGTGGCCCTCCAATAAAACCAGGGAAGTCTCAATGTTAAATTCCTAATATTTCTAAAATAAAAGACAAGCAGCAAAAAAGGGCATAAACCTAATGTTAAAAAAATCCTTTGTTAGCCACCTTTCCCTGGACCACTGTTCGAAGTTTGAAATGTGATTTGCCTTAAACCTGTTATTTAGAATAGGAAAAACTTTCCCCCGTTATTTTATATTTGTTGTAAAAAAGCTACTATTCCATCTGTATTTTAAAACAAACAAACCTCTTTAAAAAATTGTCATTAAATAAATTGTACCCTCTTATGACTTGGAAGAAACCAAATGAACTCTATTCCCAGAGTTGCTGTAACATTAACTGATAGTATTTTACATAAGATGTAATTTATGACAGTATGAAACAGAAACAACCATATCCATTTCAGATCCATGCAAAACACAAACAAATCAGCTTGTCACTTGCAGAACCTCAAAACTGGCAAATAGAAAATGGCATTTTCAAGCTTAATGGGATCTCACATTTCAAAAAGAATTTCCTCTTTGCTTTATTTACTTATTTATTCATATTGAACGCACAGAGCTCATATGGGCTTTTTAGCACATCTCCAGCATTGGGGCTGTGCAAATCACCCAACCTAGCAGAAGTATTGGGAGTCATGATACTTTCAAGAGTATCCCAGCCCACATGCTGCAGCACTCATAAAGGAGATACAGCATATGTTCCTCCGGGCTGTCAGACAGCTCTTATAACATAAAGCAGAAGGAAACTTTTACATGCTTTTACTTAGTGGGTAGTCTTGTGATTCCATTTCCACTTCACAACTACAAAATCTCCTTTTTTCAGGCTTCGTAATTAATTCTGTTTAACTTGCCTTCCCTTCCCTCCCATGGGGTTTTAAATAATTTCTGGAAGTAAGTTACCTTAAAAACAAGAATTGTTCCTCCTGACTGGAAAGTTGCTAATGTGGTACCTATTATTTTAAAAAAGAGCCAATGGAGATCTTGGGAAATGCAGACCAGGGAACCTGACCCCACTCTTTTATTTTTGTTTTGTTATTCTGTTAAGGTTTGCAGAGGTCTTTGAACATGAATGCTAAATATTAATTTGTTATTTAGTATAAATCATTTTATGACTTCAGTACCAGGCAAACTGATGGAGAATTTACTTAAATACAGAATAAATTAAATACTTGGGTTAGTGTGACTTAATTGGGTCAAGTGATCATCGCTTCTGTGATGTAAGGAATATTGAGCTCCTCTAGGTTGCTGGGACTTCTTGAAAAAGCTAATCAAATAGCAGATAAGTTAGGCTACGATTATGTCACAGAGGTCACAGAATCTGTGACTTCCATGACATTTTCTGCCCTAGGGCTGCAGCTTCCCGCCCCCGCCCTGATGTGGGGACCCTACAGCTGCCTAGCTGCGGCAGGGGGCTGGCAGACCCTGCCGCTGTCCAGCTGCCGTGGGGAGCAGCGGACCCCACAGCTGTCCAGCCCCGGCAAGAAGACTCCCCACAGCTGCCCAGCCATGGCGGGCGGTGGAAACCCTGAAGCTGCCCAGCCACAGCCAGCAGTTGGGGGATCCTGCAGCTCCCAGCTGAACCAGGGGCGAGGAGACCCCACAGTAGCCCAGCCCCACGGGCAGGAGGACCCCGGAGCTCCCACACGCAGCAGCGGTAGGGGACCCAGGAGCCCCAGCTGCAGTGGGTGCTGAACCCACCTACCTCTTACCCGGGATATTTTTAGTAAAAGTCAGCATCTATGGCTCAGCGTCTCTTGCCCATGACCTGTCCCTGACTTTTACTAAAAATATCTGTAACAAAAACTTTAGCCTTACAGATAAGGGATATCTAGGGCTTATAAGTTTACTTGGAACTTCAAAAGTCTTGTGATAAAGTCCTTCCTAAAAGATTTAGTTTAAAGAAGATAAGGGATTATTAAGACACAGTAAGGGTTGAAGTCTCATTGTGGATAAAATCTAGTTAAACTTGAGGGCCTTCTCCACATGACAAAGTTGTGCTAGTTTAATTTAAATATTTTCTAAAATATATTGCTTTAGTTAAACCAGTGCACGCCCCTGTGTGGACACTTATTTTCATTTGAGTGGTTCATTTTGGTTTGTCTTAAACAGATTCCTAATCAACGTAAACTAAAATACATTGGGGGAGTGAGGTGGGGGGGGTGGGGGCGCTGAGAGGAGCATGACATTGACAGCAGCTGGCAGAGTGCTATTTGAGATGCACTATGTTGCGATTCAATGACAAGACAGCACAAAGCTTTAAGCAAGCAAACAGGCTGGTCTGCCAACGGACTTCTGCCTGTCAGCTTTCCACTCTCTCCTTTATTCTTTTCTCTCCCCCCGCGCATTACATTCTCCAACAGATAAAAGGAATACACTGGCTTTGTTTAACATTCTTATTTACCAATTTCTATCTACCGCATTCCTTGCTCTCAGGCCTTGAGCCCAGTCCTGGGAGGCTTCCCACGGTTCATGTCATCTGGGCGAGATTCCAAGGTTCATGCCCTTGAGAGGAGGTGTGTGTGCACAGCTCCTATACAACACTCCGGGTGTGCCCTGAATGTTGCCAAACGCATGAACCCTGCATGAATCCTACACACTAGGTGCTGGAGCCTTTAGGGCTTTACAGCTGCAGCACTTGCTTAAGCATGGTGCACCTGGCACCACCAAAGACTGTTTCAGGGCAAAGCCTAGTACCACAGCACTCCAGAGACCACATGCAGAGGCAACACTTACACAAGGAGGAAGGACCAGATGAGACATTACTATGGAAACTGAAATTGCTGGGGGTGGGGTCTGTGATGCTAGGAAGAGCCAGAGTTGAAGTCAGAGATTAATATGAATAGTGAAGGGGGAAGCCAGTTGAGTAACAGATCACAGTGCTATTGACGGGGCAGATGAGATGGAGTGTTGTTCAAAGAGGAACAGGGGGAGGAGGAAGCTCTCTGGGGGAGCCAGGAGGTGGAGAAAGTGCGAGATGAAGAGGAGTTCTGAGCATCTTTGCCAGCAGGCTGGCTAACCTAGTGAGGAGGGCTTTAAACTAGGTTCACCGGGGGAAGGAGACCAAAGCCCTGAGGTAAGTGGGAAAGCGGGATACCGGGAGGAAGCACAGGCAGGAATGTCTGTGAGGGGAGGGCTCCTGCCTCATACTGGGAATGAGGGGCGATCAACAGGTTATCTCAAGTGCTTATATACAAATGCACAAAGCCTTGGAAACAAGCAGGGAGAACTGGAGGTCCTGGTGATGTCAAGGAACTATGACGTGATCGGAATAACAGAGACTTGGTGGGATAACTCACATGACTGGAGTACTGTCATGGATGGTTATAAACTGTTCAGGAAGGACAGGCAGGGCAGAAAAGGTGGGGGAGTAGCACTGTATGTAAGGGAGAAGTATGACTGCTCAGAGCTCCGGTACGAAACTGCAGAAAAACCTGAGTGTCTCTGGATTAAGTTTAGAAGTGTGTGCAACAAGAGTGATGTAGTGGTGGGAGTCTGCTATAGACCACCGGACCAGGGGGATGAGGTAGATGAGGCTTTCTTCCGGCAGCTCACGGAAGCTACTAGATCGCATGCCCTGATTCTCATGGGTGACTTTAATTTTCCTGATATCTGCTGGGAGAGCAATACAGCAGTGCATAGACAATCCAGGAAGTTTTTGGAAAGCGTAGGGGACAATTTCCTGGCGCAAGTGCTAGAGGAGCCAACTAGGGGGGGCGCTTTTCTTGACCTGCTGCTCACAAACCGGATAGAATTAGTGGGGGAAGCAAAAGTGGATGGGAATCTGGGAGGCAGTGACCATGAGTTGGTTGAGTTCAGGATCCTGACGCAGGGAAGAAAGGTAAGCAGCAGGATACGGACCCTGGACTTCAGGAAAGCAGACTTCGACTCCCTCAGGGAACGGATGGCCAGGATCCCCTGGGGGACTAACTTGAAGGGGAAAGGAGTCCAGGAGAGCTGGCTGTATTTCAAGGAATCCCTGTTGAGGTTACAGGGACAAACCATCCCGATGAGTCGAAAGAATAGTAAATACGGCAGGCGACCAGCTTGGCTTAATGGTGAAATCCTAGCGGATCTTAAACATAAAAAAGAAGCTTACAAGAAGTGGAAGGTTGGACATATGACCAGGGAAGAGTATAAAAATATTGCTCAGGCATGTAGGAATGATATCAGGAGGGCCAAATCGCACCTGGAGCTGCAGCTAGCCAGAGATGTCAAGAGTAACAAGAAGGGTTTCTTCAGGTATGTTGGCAACAAGAAGAAAGCCAAGGAAAGTGTGGGCCCCTTACTGAATGAGGGAGGCAACCTAGTGACAGAGGATGTGGAAAAAGCTAATGTACTCAATGCTTTTTTTGCCTCTGTTTTCACTAACAAGGTCAGCTCCCAGACTGCTGCGCTGGGCATCACAAAATGGGGAAGAGATGGCCAGCCCTCTGTGGAGATAGAGGTGGTTAGGGACTATTTAGAAAAGCTGGACGTGCACAAGTCCATGGGGCCGGACGAGTTGCATCCGAGAGTGCTGAAGGAATTGGCGGCTGTGATTGCAGAGCCATTGGCCATTATCTTTGAAAACTCGTGGCGAACCGGGGAAGTCCCGGATGACTGGAAAAAGGCTAATGTAGTGCCAATCTTTAAAAAAGGGAAGAAGGAGGATCCTGAGAACTACAGGCCAGTCAGCCTCACCTCAGTCCCTGGAAAAATCATGGAGCAGGTCCTCAAAGAATCAATCCTGAAGCACTTGCATGAGAGGAAAGTGATCAGGAACAGCCAGCATGGATTCACCAAGGGAAGGTCATGCCTGACTAATCTAATCGCCTTTTATGATGAGATTACTGGTTCTGTGGATGAAGGGAAAGCAGTGGATGTATTGTTTCTTGACTTTAGCAAAGCTTTTGACACGGTCTCCCACAGTATTCTTGTCAGCAAGTTAAGGAAGTATGGGCTGGATGAATGCACTATAAGGTGGGTAGAAAGCTGGCTAGATTGTCGGGCTCAACGGGTAGTGATCAATGGCTCCATGTCTAGTTGGCAGCCGGTATCAAGTGGAGTGCCCCAAGGGTCGGTCCTGGGGCCGGTTTTGTTCAATATCTTCATAAATGATCTGGAGGATGGTGTGGATTGCACTCTCAGCAAATTTGCGGATGATACTAAACTGGGAGGAGTGGTAGATACGCTGGAGGGGAGGGATAGGATACAGAAGGACCTAGACAAATTGGAGGATTGAGCCAAAAGAAATCTGATGAGGTTCAATAAGGATAAGTGCAGAGTCCTGCACTTAGGACGGAAGAATCCCATGCACCGCTACAGACTAGGGACCGAATGGCTAGGCAGCAGTTCTGCGGAAAAGGACCTAGGGGTGACAGTGGATGAGAAGCTGGATATGAGTCAGCAGTGTGCCCTTGTTGCCAAGAAGGCCAATGGCATTTTGGGATGTATAAGTAGGGGCATAGCGAGCAGATCGAGGGACGTGATCGTTCCCCTCTATTCGACATTGGTGAGGCCTCATCTGGAGTACTGTGTCCAGTTTTGGGCCCCACACTACAAGAAGGATGTGGATAAATTGGAGAGAGTCCAGCGAAGGGCAACAAAAATGATTAGGGGTCTAGAACACATGACTTATGAGGAGAGGCTGAGGGAGCTGGGATTGTTTAGCCTGCAGAAGAGAAGAATGAGGGGGGATTTGATAGCTGCTTTCAACTACCTGAAAGGGGGTTCCAAAGAGGATGGCTCTAGACTGTTCTCAATGGTAGCAGATGACAGAACAAGGAGTAATGGTCTCAAGTTGCAGTGGGGGAGGTTTAGATTGGATATTAGGAAAAACTTTTTCACTAAGAGGGTGGTGAAACACTGGAATGCGTTACCTAGGGAGGTGGTAGAATCTCCTTCCTTAGAGGTTTTTAAGGTCAGGCTTGACAAAGCCCTGGCTGGGATGATTTAACTGGGAATTGGTCCTGCTTCGAGCAGGGGGTTGGACTAGATGACCTTCTGGGGTCCCTTCCAACCCTGATATTCTATGATTCTATGATTCATTCCAAAGTAAACAGGAGGAGGGGAGAGTGTGAGGGTGGGGACAGGTATGAGGTTAGAGGATGAAGGACCAGAGGTACCCTGGTGATGGTGGGGAAAGTTGTGGGAGAAAAGGGTGAGGACTAAGGCAGGGCCAGGGTTGGGACAGCCATCACCAGAGAGAAAGAGTAAGAGGAAGCAGAGGTGGGGTCTGGATTTGAGAGGGAAGAGCAACAGGAGAAGATAGAGCTGGTGGGAATACTAAAAGGGGGAGGAAAGAAAAGGTTCTGACTGTGGGAGAAGGAGAAAGAGGAGAAAAGGCAGAGAACGGTAGTTGTTGGAATCAAGAAGGAGCTTAGAAAAGTCAGTTATCTTCCCTTGCAGCTCAGTCCAAAGGTGGAGAGGAAATTTGGTTAACTCCACCTGCAGTTTTCCATGCTGGTGGTCTGTCCCTGGAGCCAACTTTTTGTATCAGAGGAGGGATAGCAAGATGGTGGCACATCTGCCGAGTGCAGCTACCTGGCAATCTCTGCATGTGACAAGGTAGATTCAGCATCTTCACCAGACACTGCCTTTGATCACCAGATCTTTCAGTCTGTCACTCTTCCTTGATCTGTCTCAATTCATTCTGCTCTTTCCCTATCTGCCCCCCTACCCCCCAACCTCCTTATAACTCACTGGAAGTGACTTCTCATAACACAGGAATGCTCTCATCTGGATTTTTTCCCCACCTAGCTTGTGTTTTGTAGGATTTAAAGCTTCGGAAGTATCTTGATTGGGAGGCAATTCCAGACCATATATCTATCTGAGGTACTGATATGCCCCCCCCCCCCGTCACCCTGTTCCCCAGTTTATTGTCCTATCTAAGTATCTCACAATTTTCAGTGTATTTCTCTTCACAACACCTTTCTGCGATAGGGCTGTGCTGTTTACCCACATTGTACTGGTGGGGAACCCAGGCACAGAAAAGCTAAGTGACTTGCTCAAGGTTTCCCCAGAAGCTGAACCAAGGTCTCCAGAATCCCAGGCTAGCATGCTATCCACTGGACCATGCTTTCCCTATAGATAGGGGGAACAGTTTGGGCACTGAGAGTTTGAGTTATTTCTATGGCCTTTGTGGACATGGTTAACCCATCTATCAGTCTAAAGAAAATAAGATTCTTCTGTTATGTGAAGATATATTTCTGGTAAATTCAAATTTTCTCTCTGTATCCTAGCAACAATGAATCAGATACAGTCCTATATTAACTGTCTCGCAGCTTCAGTTAAATTCCTGGCTACGCTCTAAGATCAGTCCAGAATATTTCAACAGAAGGAGAATCTTTCATCACAACCAGCCCAGGAAAGCTTCTTGGACTGAAAGTAATTTTTAGTCGTATTTGCTAAGTTTGCTAACTCAGTGAATATGGAAGTCAATGATTTATTTACGATCCAATTAGGAGTACATGTTTTTTAATCAAAGTAACACACTTTAAGTATACAAAGTCAGAAATGGCTGTCCAGTATTTCCAGGAAACTGAGCCAGTGAGCTTAATTCATATAAAAGCTTCTTTGCAATATGAAAATGCTTTCTGAATATATTCAATGTTGTTTAGCTATGAAAGATTAAAGTTGTGCTTTCTCCCTGTTTAAGGACACTACATCTTCACTAAATAAAAGCTGCTATAGTATTTTGCAGTTATGGGACATGTACCCTTTGAATGTTTAAGTTTAAGTTAAGTTTCCATGTAAGATGAGAAAGAGAGATCATTGTAACTGTAGTAAGCAAATATGTTCCAATTTGGTAGACTGCATAAACTTCCTGGAATGCTTTGTCTCCACCTATTGACTTCCCCCTTAGCTGAACTACCTTTGTTAGTAATGTTTAAGACTTGTCTTGAGAGCTTCTATTGTAGAGCAAGCTGTCATGTATGGTATGTGTATGCGTTGTAGACAATTATACACAGAGCAATTCACTCAGTCAGATTCTACTCTTTGCTTTGTAAATTGTTTTGCCATTAAAAAAAAAAAAAAAGAATTGAACTGCATTGGCTTTGCCATGGAAGGGGGTCTCTGTGGCATAGGGCACAA